GCTGGTCTCAAGTAATCATCCCACCTCAGCCTCTCAAAAGTGTTGGGATTATAGGCATGCACCACCATGCCCGGCCCCCTACCTCCAGAGTGCTATGAACGCTGGCTGCAGAATCATTCGCAGCACAAGTCTTATTGTTTAGAAAGAAACCAAAGCTAGAGTTTACATAGAACTTCCACTTTGCCTGTGTGAATTGAAAGGTATTTTCTGTGGCTAAGATACAGTTTGGGAGCATGGAATTGGTAAATTTCTCATAGTCAAAATTTGTCAACTTCAAATGAAAGGAAGCTATTTATAAATGTCAGCTAATACAGTCTGCCAGGGGGCTTGAGGCTTGTGGAGAAATCTTTGTCTTAGCTTCGCAGAAGCAGTTGGGCATTTTGCCGGGGAGTGAGGACCAGTGTCTTAAATGCGTGCTGTGGAGAGGCTTGTGCACGACAGACATCCAAGTCTGAGACAGATAAAGCGGCAGCAACTCAGAGGGATCCTCTAAGACTTTAGGTGAAGCGCAGAGACTGTTTAGAAAACTCTTCTGTGGCACATCTAGCCCCAAAATGTTGTTATTAACGAGCCCACTACTACCGTGTTTAAATGACAGACTTCTGCCTACATTCGGAAAAATCAAGGCTCCAAGAGCCTTTATCATGCAGTGCTCGTTGACTTTTGAGAGTTATTTTTTATTTTCATTTTGGTTGTTAACATTGTTTTTTCTAAAGCTTACTTCTTGGTTGCAAACACTGTTTTTCTAAAGCTCTTGCATAAAAACTACCTGTTGTAGGAGTAGAAAGAGGTTATAGCTTGTGTTGATTGATTGCCTGGATCGTTTTCTATGCCACAGACTGGGGATTTAGGTTCATTTGTGGGACAATCAGAACTCAGAATGCCGAGGATACACCTGGAACTAGCTAATCTCGCCTTGGCCAAAAGAGCCCAATGACAACAGCTCACCCGGATCAAGCACACCCTGCAAGTCGGGCAGCACTTTCTATGCACTAATGCCTTTATTATTTATAAAAAAAAATATTTATCCCTTCAAAGTAGAAACTACTTATCCATTAGTAGTAAATAGATACCCAGCTCAGTAGAAACTACAAATGGAAAACCAGAGCACAGAGAGGTTAGGTAACTTGCCCAAATTCACACTGCTAGTAAAATGTTTCGTGGTTCCTTTTATTGACTGCAGTGCATCCATTTGGGCTCGCAATAAATTTCTTTATTAATCAATAGGAGAGAGGACAGGAACCCTGGAGATGAAAGGCCAATCAGGAAACTATTCACAGAATGAGTAAGATGGTGAGAGCCTGGGCCCAGGCAGGAGCTGTGGAGATGGTGGGTCAGGGGTAGATGGGAAGAGGCAGCAGCAGAGCTGCTACAGAGAGAACATTCACAAGACACGGTTGATGTTGGACATGAGCAGGTGGCAGAGAGAAGGGAAGTTAGAATGATTCCTGGTACCCAGCATGCCCATCTGGATAGCTTGGTGGTGCCATGAATCAAGGCAGGGTGTGCAAAAGGAGGAGCAGGTTTGGGGAGAAGAGTTAGTTCAGTTTGTAATGTTTGAGTTTTTGATACCTGCGATACATCCACATTACAATTAAGATTTAATAGGTAAATGGATACCCAGATCTGGAGCTCAAGAGAGGACTGGGCTGAGTATAGAGTTTGTGAGTCACCAGCAGACAGGTGGAAGCTGGAGCCATGACACTAGATGAGAGCACTCAGCTGGGAGATGAGAATAGAGGTGACAAATGAAGGCCACCATGTCAAGTGCAGGCAGAGGGGGAGGAGCAGAAGAAGCTGAAAAGGACTCGGCAGAGAGGTCGGAGGGAGCAGGTAGAAGCTGGTGGCACAGAGGCTGAGGGAGAGTGTGCAGAGGATCTCCCCAGCACAGCAGATCTCCTCAAAGAACCAAGTGAAATGAGTGTCAAGGCGTTTGGCAGTCGGGATGCCATGGGTGGCCTTAGCAAGAGCAATTTGGGCGGAGTGAGTGGGGCAGAAGGAATAAAAACCGTGGCTTGGGGGTAAGAGGAAAATAGGCTTGGAGGAGCACAGAATAGAAGATGGACAGATGCCTGCTTACAAAGTTCAAATTATTGGATTCCTACACTCTGTATTACATTCTTTTCCATCTTTCTACAGAGCCTCCCAAATGATCATTTTAATGGCTTTACTATGATCATAGGTAACATTTAATGAATACCTTCTATGAGACAAGTACCTAACTTCAATATTTAATTTTAAGTCTTACAGCAAGTCTGTAGAGTAGACAGTGTTATTATCTCCACTTTAAATATGAGAAAAGTAAGGCTTGGGGAGATGAAACTACTCATCTAACCTGTAGAGCTGGTGAAAAGGAGACTCACAGTACAAACTGGGGTAGCCTGGCTTCGGTCACTTTGTGCTTAAACACTACACCATAGGGTGACCTGTTGCCACAAAGAAACATCATTTTCTACTCATTCTCCTGGTATTATACATCTAGGTGGTTTCTGCTCTTTTGCTATGCATGTAACTTTAAATTTCTGCTGAGTTAATTAATGTGTTTCTTCAACAGCCCAGTGTTCTTCTTTCTGCCCCATCTCATTGCTCATTTGTCGCAGAGTTGAGTGATTAGCACACACAGCTCTGTGGGTGGGCTGATTGACAAAGCCAAATGCTGGGAGCCCTCTCCTTCTGAAAAACAGGGGAAAGAAAAAAGAGGCATTCATCCAGGAAACCCACCTGGTTATATCCTGAAATATAAATGCTTATCCAAAAGAACCTTAAAGGAAAACATTTAGCTGGTGATTGAAACGGCTTAATACAGAAAATCATGCTGCACACAGCAGCATTTCTATCCAGCATTCTAAAATCATTTCAAAATATTTTTCAAGGCTTTTGTAAATTCCTTTCCAAAATAGATGAGAAACACTACACTTGGCAAGACAAAGTTTAACCCACAAGAACTCAAACAACAGTTTATAAAGATTAAAGAACACAATTTTATATGTGTATATAACTCTCCAGAAAATCATTTCAGAACATGAAATCTTCGAGATGATTCTTAACACTGCCCCTATATAAATGCTTTGTGTCCAGAAACTTAAACTCTGTACACTCCTCCAGCCTTCCCAGCACTGTCATTCAAAGACCCCTGCAAGATCAGGATTTTCAAATGTTCCTAAGGCTTGGGTAGGAAATACGTTTTACATTTTGGCCCAGTTTATGCCCACACATGTGTGCACACACAGTCATACATACACCCATACACATTTAACTGAAACAAATTTTTCACAAAACAATACTTGTCCTCACCATGTGCAATTAATATTTTCTCTTCTATTTCTTAAAAGTTCTGGTCCCATACAAAATTGATTTCATGAGGGCTTAAAGGGTTGCAACCCACAGCTGAGAAGTCCTGTGTTCTAAAGGATCTAAATTAAAGCGCTCTCACCAAAAGATCTGCATGAGGAAGAATCTGCAGTTGGTGTAATAGAAAGCGTATGTGATTTGGAATTAGAGAGGCATGGGTTCCAATCCCAACTCTTCGGTTTACAAACCATCTGCCTTTGGGCAAGTTACTTGATCTCTCTTTGCCCCTCCATTTCCTCTCCACAGGCCTCTGGGACTGCTGGGACAATTCAACTAGAGGACACTCATGGAAGCACCCACCACTTAGAATCATTCATTCATCCAGCAAACATATATTGAGCACCAGATGTTGTCCTAAGGGCTAGGCAGATAGAAGTCAACAAAACCATCAACACCCCTGCTTTCATGGAGCTGGCATTCCAGGGGGCACAGACAATCAGCAAATTAACATAGAATATGTCAGGGAGTGAGAAGGACTGTATTAGTTTCCTCTTGTCACTGGGATGAATTGCCACAAACTTAAAGGTTTAATCAACACAAATCTATTATCTTACAGTTTCAGATGTCATAAGCCCCAAACGGGTCTCACTAGACTAAAATCAAGGTGTTGGCAGAGCTGTTTTCCTTTTGGAGACTCCAGAGGAGAATTTCCTTGTCTTTTATAGATGCTAGAGGCTGCCCACACCCACTGGTTTATGACCAGTCTGCATTTCCACAGTCAGCAACATTGGGTTGAGTCCGTCTCACACCTAATCACTGTGACTCTGCTTCTATCCACACATCTCCTTCTCTGGATTTGACCCTCCTGCCAAAAACCACCGTGGGTCCTCTAGGAAGGACCCATGTAGTTAGACTGAGCCCACCGGATAGTCCAGGATACTCTCCCCATCTCCACATCCTTACCCTAATCACATCTGCAAACTCCTTTCTGCCATGTAAGGTAACATATTCATAGGTTCCAGGGAATATAAATAAGAGTCACCTGGAGGGGTGGTGTTGGTAGTCAGTTGTGAAAGCCTTGGTGCTGACATACTCACTCTTCTCCGTTTCAGCCAGTTACATACAACCACAAAGGGACTGTGGTTTTGGTCATCTGTAATGCTTGGTAATTTGTCTCTCGAGCCCAGGCTTCTGAGCAAGTTACAGCTACTGAGTGAGCCTAACAGACAACCAGGGATGTGCATTCCAGGGGCCTTTAATTGGTCTTGCCCTGTCGACACTTAACGTTTAGTAATTTTCCAGAATTTGTCATTAGTGTCTTTACTAATGAGCTCTGGGCACCAAGTGGGAAGAAAAAACTTTAGTGAAATTTGGAAAGATTGACTTGTGGTATGAGGATATGCCCAGAAATGTGATAAAGACAAAAGCCCAAAGCTTGAATGAAGTTACATTTGCAAACTTGGGACTGCACTCAGACCTCAGGGTGCGTCCTTCACAAGCATCAGAGTCTTCTGTGTGTCTCTTCTCCTCCATTCATGAAGCTCCAGTTTTGAATCAAGGGACTGCAAAGTCACTAATCCCATCATGACCATATTGACAGTGTTATGTTGTTCACGTGACTGAAGAAGCACGGAAAGTTCTGTGTGCCTACGGTGGCTAGCCACAGGTCTGATTTCATATGTAATCTTGGTGCATTTGTTTTATTTCAGGGAAAACTCGATGCCTTGTGGGTCCTACTGAGGAAAGGATATGATCGTGTGTCTGTGATGCGTCCACAGCCAGGAGACACGGTAGGACTCGTTAATTCATGAATGGTCTCTCTCTCTCTGTCATACACATCTTTGTACAGCTAGAATAACTTTGGATTCTAAAACAGAGCTAGAATAACTCCAGATATACAAATCCAGCTATTATTTCATGTTGCAACAAATCAGACATCACTTTTCAAAATGTTGGTTATTACAAGATCTTGAGTTTCTATTTGCTTTTCTGTAAAGGACTTGACAGTGATCTGTTGGGTGTAACTTCCTAGAATTTGAGCTTCTCAATGTATAGGCACAGTGAGAGAATAAAACAGGACTGGCCCCTACTTGGGGCAGTTTCAGGAGGGAGCTCTGCTGGCCACTGGCCACACAAGCCAGTGGTGTACCACAGAGTACCAGCACTGCAAGGATGGGGTGAGGGCAAGGAAGGGGCCACGGAAAACGCCTACCATCTTCCCAGCAGGTGTTGGGGCCAGCTGGCCCAGGACCAACAGAGGGACCTTTCACACCAGGTGAGGATTTGTCTTAGCATTGTCAAGGCTAAGCTTGGAATATCTCTAGTCAAGAGCAGTCCTCAAAGGTAGAGCCAGCAGAGACCTTAGAAACCATCCAGCCCATGGCTTCATTTTGTAAATGAAGAAAAAAAAAACAAAAACAAAAATCACCTAATTGCATTCTCTGAAAAACAAGAGAAGGTAAATAGCTTGTTGTGTTTCAAATAGTAAGTAACAAGTAACTTACACTGGAAATAACTTCAGTTCTGCCGAAACAACACTATCACTATTTCTTCATGTACGAGCTAGTCTCTCTCCTGCAAGTTTTACGGATCACAACTCAGGACCAAGTTTTCCCTCAACTACCAGCAACCTGCATCTTCCATCCACTTCTTTGGGAATCAGTCACATTAATCCAAAGGCAAAATAAAAGTATCTCATTTAGAACTCCTTTCAAATCAAGCAGACTTGGGTTTGAACCCCCTTCCTTCCTGGCTAGAAAGCTCCAGGCAAATCACCTGACCTCTCTGAACTTCATCCTTATAAAGTAGATGGCATGGACTTCTTCCTACTGTGGCTGGTTGGAGAAGGTAATGTTTGTAAAGCATTTGGCTCCCTGCTGAACATATGGAAATACTCAATTGGGATGGGCGTGGTGGCTCACACCTGTAATCCCAGCACTTCGGGAGGCCAAGGCAGGTAGATCACTTGAGGCCAGGAGTTCTAGACCAGCCTGGTCAATATGGTCAATATGGTTAAACCCCATCTCTACTAACAATACAAAAATTAGCTAGGTGTGGTGGCACATGCCTGTAATCCCAGCTACTCAGGAGACTGAAGCAGGATAATTGCTTGAACCTGGGAGGTGAAGGTTGCAGTGAGCCGAGATCACACCATTGCACTCCAGCCTGGGCAACAGAATGAGACTGTGTCTCAAAAAATAAAATTTTTTTGTTAAGAAAGAAATGCTCGGACTGGGTGTGGTGGCTCACACTGGTAATCCCAGCACTTTGGGAGGCCGAGGCAGATGGATCACAAGATCAAGAGATCGAGACCATCCTGGCCAACATGGTGAAACCCTGTCTGTACTAAAAATACAAAACTTAACTGGGCGTGGTGGTGGGCACTGTAGTCCCAGCTACTCGGGAGGCTGAGGCAGGAGAATCACTTGAACCCGGGAGGCAGAACTTGCAGTGAGCCGAGATTGCACCACTGCACTCCAGCCTGGTGACAGAGCAAGACTCCGTCTCAAAAAAAAAAAGAAAAGAAATGCTCAATCGATGACAGATATCCTTATGGTTATTTACTTTGTGCTGTTCTGCTGTCTGGGGATGGTTGATGCAGGACTTCAAGCCATATTGCAGTTGGTGTGTTTGCTTTCCTGACTGTCCAGCATGGCACAGCTAACACTAGAGCAGAGCCCGATAGACAGGCCCTGCTACCTCCTCCCCTTGCACCTGGTGACAGTGGGTGGTTTGTAGCTGAGGAGATTTGGTCTAAAGTTTCATAGTTTATGTGAGCCACTGCCCAATTAGCTGTTCCTGTTGTGACTAGGACGGCATGCAAGTAAAAATGTGAAACCACCTCATATAAATGCTGGGCTGACTTGGCCCTCATTGCATATGGAATTTGAGCTTTTGTCTGTGACAGTCAACAAGACCAAATTTCTATCCGAAATTTTAAATACAAACTCTTCAGTTAGGAGAAACAAGTACAGGCCATAAAGTTAGTACTCTGGGAGGTGTTTGGTCTTGTAAAGTATACGTCTGCTTTCTATGGAAAATGAAGAAATTTTTTTAGCATGCATGAGACTCCTCTAACAGATTAAGAAAAAATAATAATAAGATTCCTAAACTAAGTTTCAGTAGTACTATTTTTTGTGACAGAAGATGCTGATACAGTGTATGACCCCATTTTTTTTTTTAGAGCAATTGAAAAACATCTCCACTAAAATATGTTAACATTCCATTTTCCACTGACCAGTTTGGCAGAAGCCAATTCATAAACTGGGTCAACCTAAGAAGTAGGAGGTTTATAGGAAAGAGGCTGGATAGAAAGAAATATTTTCGTTTATAAGACAGAAGAATCAATGCTGTTTGGGAGCAAAAGGCTGGTTATGTAAATCCAAGAACAATGGAATGAAAATAAATGGAACTTTCTCTAATGAATCACACCTAAATTGAATCTCTTATTTACCAATTCTGAATGAAAGTTTGTAGTAACACCTGAAGATGTTCCATATGTTTTTGAGAGACATAGTACCACCTTGAACTTTTATTCTCCAGCCATGCAAAGTAATAGATTTAAGATATAAGAAGCTTAAGAATTTGGATACCTTTGAACATACTCTCAACACTGTCACAAATTATGATTATCCAGTTTACTTTTAAGTGCCCTTTCTTTATGGAAGTCTTGCTAAAATAAGATACACGAGAGAAATAGATACAGAAAATTGTGTCCTTGTTGCCATGGCAACAACCACAGGATGTACACATGGAGTTACGCAAGAAAGGTCACAGATGAAGTAAGAACCAGAATTCAGAGCTGCCTATGGCTACTCAAGAAAGAATTCCAGGGGAGGCGGGGGGCAATATTGTAGCTTTGTCTACATGCTTCTTCTGTTTTGTTTTGCATAACCTTAGGAGACTCACTAGAGAGGCCTGCGTTGCTTGCATGGTGGTGAGTCTGTAAGAATTCTTCAGCACTGATTTATGGAGCTGACCACATTTTCCATAAACTCAAAATGACTCCATCCAGGCATGTGCTCATGAACAAGAGTCACAGGTTCTGAAATTTTTCTTTAAAACAAAACAAAAACAAAAATCACCTAATGGCATTCTCGGTTACATTCTAAGTTGCTTCAAACACATGTTGACCTCACAGAAACCTGGCACATTTTCCTCCTCAGTTCCTGTCTCCTTCATCCTCCCCTCAGCTACTCCACCCCAGCCCTCCAGATGCAGACACAAGCCCACCAACAGAGCCTCTGAGGCTACTGAAAGGCCTCCAGCTCAGCACAGAGCAGGAGCTCAGGGAGCCAGAGCCCAGAGCCACCGCCCTTCCCTGGGATTGGCACCCACCTCTTCAGAGCCATCCAAGCCCCAGGTCAGGAATGGCAGCAGGAAACACGAATGTTTTCCATCTGCCATCATCCGTCTCCTTCTCTTTGCCTGTGGTGGGCTCATGGTCCCATTGTTCCTTGGAGCCCACCAGGAAATGCTTGAGCCAACATAAAAGAGAAAGTGCCAAAGGAAACCACCTAAATAGCAAACCAGTAGCACATCTGATTCTAAGATTGTTAAAGTTTACTAAGCACATGGTGTCCCCTGCTCTCAGTAGGTAGCCACCACAGTGCTCCTTGTAAAACCAAACCTCAACACACCATGCCTCCACTTCAGACTTGCAAAAACTGTGGGAAAACCCAGAATCCTTGGCTTGATTTAGAAAGGCATGCCTTTCCATTTCATACACTACTTACCCCAGATTCCCTCATCACCTCCAAATAGGCTCTGAGCACATGGAATTAATTGCTGGGCACGCCCTGAACATGCCAGGACATTTTGTGTCTCCGTACCTTTGCTAGGTTTCTCTGCTTGGAATGCCTTTCCCGTCCTCTCTACCGAGTGAACCTAGCTTGGTAATATTGTTCATTGTTCCCGAGGTGTCTTGTAAATACAAAAAGTTGCTGACCACACTCATGCTTGAAAGGGGGCATCACCATAGCAGAACACATTTGACAGAGCCTAGGTGAGAAGGTTTGGAAGTTAGAACCTCTGTCCCAGGATGGTCCAGGATGGTCCCCAAGGGTTCCTACACAGCTTGGCCACTCTTTGAGTTCAGAAAATTTGCTCATCTTTTCAAGGGCAAATGGTTGAAGGAATTTAGAATGTTCTGGGAAAGAACGCTTCAAGGGGTCATGAGAGCTTTTTAACTTACTTGGTCCATGATGATATGGTGTGTCATCCCACTTTGTAAGCTGTTTCTTATCACGTCACCATTGTCAAGGAATAATCTTTCCATGTCACTACATATCCTTGAATAATATCATTTTAATGACCATGTCATATTCCATTGCATATCTTCCCTTTTTGGAGATTGATTTTCAAGTATCTGTTATTATAAATGAAGCTGCAGTCAGTATCCTTATTGCCAAACCATTGTGCACATTCACAAATGTTTCCTTAGAATAAAAGGTCCAGCTTTCTACTGGATCAAATAGTGTGCACATTTTTAAAGTTTTGATAAAAATTGCCAAAGAATTGCCCTTCAAAAGATTGTACAAATTAACCCTCACATTAGCCCCTATGGAACGCCCATCTCCCCAGATGCTCCCCAATATTATTAACTTACCTATTTGATTGACAGATGCTAATTTAACTTGTATTTTTTATTATTATTGAGGTGGAACAATTTTTTAAATGTTTATTTTCTCATTTGTCCATTGGTTTGACTTGGCTCATTTTTCCACTGGATATTTTAGTGTTGGTTTCCTGTGATAATTTTCTTAACCCATCTTCATTCATACATTAATCA